ATGGGGCGGATAGCCGGGTCATGGTCAAGGGAAATGGGGGCTCCTGTGTAGCGGCCAAGTGTGCCATCGAAAACCCTGGGGAACTCATTACACACAGCCGCAAAGTCCTCAGCCTGGAGCTGATTCACCCCCGCGATCGTCAATCCCAGAGGCCCAAACCAAGAAAGTCCCAGCAGAATGGAGAGCCTCCCCACCACCACCACCAAGTCCAGTTGTCTACGGAAGTCCTGAAACTGCACCGTAAATTTGCCCCAGCCCCGAACCGCTACAGGGTTTTTGTTAAAGTCCCATAACTTAAACCCCTGTGGCATATGCAGAGGGGGTCCCCCCCATGGGTAGAGCGAGCGCAGCATTTCCTCCAAAATGATGGAATAAGAAGAGCCAGGGTCTATTTCCATGCTACAGGGGGACCCCTCAATAAGCACCGTCACGTGTACCTTATTTGGGCTATCGGGGGGCAAGTTACATACCTGGTGCGGCTGGGGGTGGGCTGAGAGGGTATGCAGGTCCGTGTATTGATCCGAGGTCTGGGGGGTCGAAATCTTCTGTGGTGGTCGTCGGGAGCGGCAGACCCTGGCGATGTGGCCCGGCTTGTTGCAGGAGCAGCAGACGGCATCCCGGAACCGGCAACCGTGGCGTTCGCGCGCTTCCCCACAGCTGGCACATTGGGATGGTGCCGAGGGGGCTTTGGCCGATTGTGCTCCCCCAGGGCGATGCTGCTGGGAGGGACGGCGGCGGACCTGGAGCACTTCATAGTTCTCGAAGTCGTCCGACTCAAGCTGCTGGGAGGGACGGCGGCGGTCTTGGTGCGCCTTCTCGTAGGCCGCTGCCTCCCTGAGCGCCTTGTCTAGGTCCAGGTTGTCCTGGCTAACCAGTTTCCTCCGGAGTTTGGGTTCCCAGAGACCCAAAAGGAACTGGTTTAGCAAGGTGTCCGCCAGGTGGAGAAATGAACACCTGGTGGCCGCCCGCCGGAGCCCGGCCAAGAACTCGGAGGCCGGCTCGTCCGGCCCCTGGACCCGCGCAAAAAATTCCATGTGCTCAGCAAACTTGGTGGGCTTTGGTGAAAGGTGGTCGGTCAGCACTTTCACCAGCACCACATAGGACTCGTCCTTGGTCTGCTTAGGCGCAATGAGGTCCTTAAGCAGCAAGACGGTGTCTATGCCACAGGACCGGAGGAGGTGGGCCTTTTTCTTACCCGGGTCTATGATGTCATGGCAGTTGAAGTAGCTCTCCAGGGTCTCGAGCCAGGTCTCCCACTGTGCAGGGTGGAAGATGTCGAAAGCGGCGATGCTTTCCTGGGAGGCAGCCATCGTACTGCTACATATGGTGAGGGTAGCTCGGGAACGGCAGCAGCGGCGGCGGTGGCTGGAGCGAGGCAGGAAGCACTGCTCTCGGGGTCAGCAGAGCGAGGTATGGAGCGAGGAGCGGAGCAGTGAGTGGGGGACAAGGCATGCTTAGCCTGGTCTACTCCAATTGTTTTTCTACTCAAAATTACATACAAACACCACATGCTTTTCCATCCACCGGGAAAGATATGGATGTGTTTCTTTTATTCTGCAAACAGAAAAGCAGCTTGGGTTTAGCAAGACGGATTAGTGACTGGCCTTCTTTGGCCTGATTCAAATATAGTAATGCACAACAAGCGTCTTTGTGAACCTATTAAAACAAGTGTGATGACCACAGGCACTGGATCCAGGTAAGAATACGCATTCCCATCTCCAATCCAAGAACAAATGGTAAGGCACATCTTCAACTATGTAAAGACAGTGATCAGATCATCAGGGTTCCATGTAAATGCACATCATAGTGTTCATGTGTATCTGATGCCTGATGGTCTTCACCTTTCTCCATGCATGTTAGTCAGTGTATCCATGCTCAACAGCATCCAGAGATGACTAATTCAGATTGATCTATGGATCCACCCCTTCTGTCCACACACTGGGGGGGGGGGCGTTTCTGCACATGGAAAACAATTGTTCCATGTTCAGAAACCTACCATATATTCAGGTTGCCGATTGCATCTGGTGGGTTTGTTTTAGGTTTTATATCATTGGAAATACGACAACACATCACATGATGGCTAACAGAGGCTATAGTTGCAGCAAAATTAGATGTTAACTTACTGGAAGAACAAAGATATCCCTAAAATAGATAAACTTAGCTATGAGGGAGAGAACCACATATTTTATCTAGAGGAATCTCATCAATATGTGTATATTGGATGCATAAGATTGAATGGGAAGCTGTTAACATCCTGGGATGGGAACACACTGGAGGTGGCCCAGAGTATAATTTAAATGCACATGATGCCTTGCTGAAGCTGAGTTAGTCTAGGTCTGGTCAGACCTCCTGAGAACCCCATGTATGCCACCTTGAGCTCTGTGAAAGAAAGGTGACGCATAAACATAATAAATAAACTGTACGTTTGTTTTTAACAGTTACAGTAATTATTATGGTTGTGGAAGGTATCTTCAATTATAAAAAGTATCTTAATGTACTAAATGAGCAAAAATAAAGCGTATTACCAAACAAGTTTGAGAACAGATGCTTCAGTCACTCTCGTTTACCTAATACCATTATACCAACAGTGCCGTGTAGTCCAATATTGTCAGCTGTAACTGACAACAGAAATACAGTGTAGTGGTTAGAGTGTTGGACTGGGATCTGAGAGACCTAGTTCAAATACCCACTCTGCCATGGAAGCTTGCCAGTGATCTTGGGCAAGTCAGTCCTAGCCTAACCTACCTCACAGGGTTGTTGTGAGGATAAAATGGAGGAAAGGAGGATGATGAAAGATGCTCTGGGTCCCCCTTGGGGAGAAAGGTAGGGTATAAATTAAGTAAATATAATAAATCTAGCATATGCTTTGCCATTAAGCTATGACCCCCACCTTGTTTTCTATTAGCAGGATTGTCTACATACATCCACCTCTCAACTTGTCCTCCTAAGCAAAGCTGGATGCAACCCCTGATTACACCACACTAACAAGAAAGTTGGTATCAAGAACAGAATTCAACAGTATGAGAATAGTAACTTTCATTTTAAAAAGAAAGTTTCCCAAATACAGCAAAGCTAAATAGAAACCAATTTACTCTGTGAGAAATGTGGTGAATGTTGTTTATTTGAATGTTATAATATAGACAACCATGGTTGGTTCTAAACAGTTGCTGTGGCTCCAGCTCCCATTTACTGACTGAGGTCTGAGGTACACATGCAAGACACATGGGGTGGGAATGAGGTAGTAGAATGGACCACGTCTGGTCAGACTACGAAGGAAGGATTAAATTTAGGAATGTTCTCTTACCTTTGAAAAACCCTCACAAATAGAAAACTAGCACAGCAAGCAAAGGCAGAGGGTAGAAGCTTCATCCCAGTGGTGCTAGATTTCTAGACGTATGGAGTTTTTAATTTGAAGGCATATTTAATTCCATCATCCATAGTCTGTCGTGCTATAGGCCAGCACATTCTACGACTACTTTCTGCTGTATGTGTGAACAAAGCCTCAGGCTTCATGATGCCACATTACACCACTTGAGGCAAAAGCAATCCCATTACTTCTCATGGGCTGTCACCCATGCAAAGCAGCTGTACCCCACAGGTGAGTGATTTTGCCTCAGCCAGCATCATATTTGCCTCAGCCTCACTCTGTTGCTGTGGAGTGGTTAATCTACCTTATACTTCCATACCTTATTGCAGCATTTTTTGGAGACTCTTTCCTGGGATGCTATTTATTTATTTATTTTATCAAATTTATATCCCACCCTCCCTGCCAAGGCGGGCTCAGGGCGGTTTACAACATACATATAAATATGAACAGTAAAAACTCCAATTATACAAAACAACATCAGATTTAAAATTCAATATAAAAATCATAGCATTTAACTACAATACAGATGGCGACATTCTGTCATTGTTTGAGTGGCTGCCTCCAGGCTCCTGCCAAGCTGTTAATCATTCAGCTGGCGGTGATGTTAATATTAAGGCCAGGTTGGTATGATGTTAATGTTAGGGCCAGGGCCATAGTGTCAAGGCGGCACCCTACTTGAAAGCCTGGCGGAAGAGCTGTTTTACGGGCCCTGCAGAACTGCAAAAGGTCCCACAGGGCCCTGATGTCATCTGGGAGCTCATTCCACCAGTGAGGGGCCACCACAGAAAAGGCCCTGGCCCTCGTTGTGGCCAACCTGGCCTCTGCCGGGCCCGGAAGGACCAGGCGATTGAGTATGAGGTTAAAACAAGCCCTTATTTTATACAAGTTACAGTCAATGAGTCTCCTTTATGAACATTCATCACTCAAATGGATTTGACTTTTCTTTAAATGACTCCTCCATTGAATGTAAAATGACAGATAATGAAGAAAAAATCCTCAAAAATGTTCACTTTATACACTATGCACAAATCCCACTCATTCTACTAATCATGCATGAAAACAGCTTCAGAGATATCATGGAACAGATTTCAATAAACAAAATATCAATTACAAATTGAGTGTATCCCTGAAAGGGAAGATATACTATTTATGTATTTTGAAATATTTAAATGCTGGCTGTTTTCATGAGGATTCTTTAATGCTTTGTTTTAAGTCATAACAAAGCATTAAAGAATCCTCATGAAAACAGCTAGCATTTAAATATTTCAGTACATAGTACTTGAAATTGTGAAATCAGGAAACAGTATGACATGAGGGGTTCGTTTAGTGCTTAATGCTCTTTAAAAAACTGAAAGAAATAAACGAAACACAGAATCTACACAACCCTATTAAAGCAGGTTTTTCTCCTCTGGACTTCACTTGACTTCACAGGCACTGGAGTTTCACTTCAATTAAAGCAGGTTTTTCCTCTCTGGACTTCACTTGATCTTACATGCACACTGGAGTTTCACTTCAACGTCTTGTCCTCATGACTCTCTTTACCTCTCTACAAGAGAGGCAGGCTTGTTTGAGGAAGAAACCCTCTCCTTTCCAAACAGTGGTCTTTGCTTCATAACTTTTTTTTCTTTTTCAGAAAAATGTCAGGAGCCTGGCAAGGTTAGCAGCAAATGAACTACAGGACAAGCCCGAGTTTTCACTTCCTGCCTCAGCCCCAACAGTTCCACATCTTTGGAGTGCTGGATCCAACACAGGCCAATCCTTTCTGACTGATGCCTCTCACAGGGACAAAGTGAAGGGGGCCGCCTCAATCTTCCCTTATGCTTTGGGAAATGACACACCCACTTACCTTGCTGCGCTCTTAACAGCCACTTGCAATAGTGGCTCCACTGCATAACCCATTGTGTGCACGAGCCATCGCCGTGTCTACCATGCCTGAACTAGAGCGACTGGATGGATCTAGGCCCCCTGCCAATGCTGGCCAGATCCAGAGGAACATCCTGGAGGAACATGTGGAGTTGTGGTGGTTCCAGCAGCCCAGAAAATCGTTTCTTTGCTACGGGGTGGCTGTGGCACTCATCTTGGCCTGTGGGGTAGGCGGCATTGCCCTGCTGTACAGTACTAGCAGCCGTTCTGGGGAATGGAGACTAGCGGTGGGCACCACACTCTGCCTACTGGCACTCTTGGTATTACTGAAGCAGCTGTTGAGCTCAGCCATCCAGGACATGAATTGCATTCGCAGCCGGGAGCAGGTTGAGCTGCTGAAGAGCGGTGGTGCCTCGGACTGTGCTGTGCTGCTCTTGACGGCCCTGGTGCTACTGGTGTGTGGCACAGTCCTCACTGCACTTTCCTCCACTGCTACCACTAGCAGCAGCACCACCACCACCACACGCCCCCTTGCCAGCATGTTCATCAGCGGCATTGTGCTCACAGCTTCAGGAGCTATCCTCTTGCTTAGTCTGCTTCTCTATTTGACATGGACCTCTTGTCGATCCGCCACATCTCACACCCGAGACACTGGCAATGACAGGGCCCTTTTCACAATATCAGGACGCATTGCAGCCAATCAGCAGCTCGCCACTACCTCCAGCACGGCCAACCTTATTTAAGTGATAGCTAGCTTCTGCCGCTGACAGAGTGAGGTGGCATTAACTCAAGATTCAGAACTGGCATTTGCACTTTATTTTGCACCAACCAGCCTAAAAGACAGGCTGTTTCCTGCAATGTGATTGAACTTCAGTATGAAGTTGCAGCGCCAAGAGGGCAACTTGGCCTTGTGACCGGACACTACAACCCACAAAAAGTCTTGCTGTTGAATGCTGAATTGGTATTGTGTGAGTGGAAGAAGAATAGCCATCATTCCAAAGGAATGGTTTCTGGCATAAGAATAGTCTCCCAAGTGACTAGAGGGTGCTGTGAGTTTAGAGGGATGTGAAGTGCAACATTTTCACCAGTTTCTCTGAAAACCCAGCATAGCCCCATCTTGGCTTCTGAAGTACCAAGGGGCATTGCTCCCTCTTTTTTATGTGTAGCTTTGCAGTTAAAAGCCTAGAAACATGCTTGAAAAATGAAAGCTGCATTTCTCAGGATACTGAATTATGTGTCCAGTTCCCATTTCTGCACTTGTATGTAGCACAATTGCAAGAATCACAGAATGTACACAGTCCTGTTATGACCATCCTATGTAGAGAAAAGGGTCAGTAGTAGGTAACTAATCTACACTGACTCAAGAGTTTGCTTCTTTGGTACCAGAACACTGAGGATGATGGCAAAGCTCACAGTCTTACCACCCTGATCTGGCACTTGACAATGAGGGATGACTTTGGGTGACATGTCCTGATCGGAGATGGGTGTGTATGAATTGGGGTTAGAAACAAGACTACAGAAATGTGTATCAAGACAAACAGTGCATGCACAGGCATGCAGACGTGTTGCTATACATGGAATGGTATTGTGACTGACATGTGCAAGTGCTAAGAAGAGCTGCTATATAGGCACCTAATTCACAAGGTGCAAAGAATTAATTCTGCTTTGCTTACTGAACTACTCAGGAAGCCTCTGTTCACTGGAAACTATTAGGGTTGACTGAGCTTGTCATGGACTTTCTTGCCCTTGACCCCAGACACTTATATGTGTAAAGTTCTCCAGCCTGGCAGTTATGATCCCTATCCATTCCCAGTTATGTCACTTTTTCAAAGGGCCATAAAGTAGATTCACAACTATCGTAAAAAATAAATGAGTAAATCAAGGATTTCACATATTCTGTTTTCTACAGCTTTTCCCAGACTAGTATTGGCACCACCTATATGACGTAAGCAGTGTTCCCTCTAAGCTGAGTTAGTGTGAGCTAGCTCACAGGTTTTTAGCCTCCGGCTCACACATTTTTGTCTTCGCTCAGGAAGGATGGCTCCAGAGCAAACTCATTTATGCAGTAGCCAAATTGCTCGCTCACGACTCTAATGCCAGTACCTCACAGAGTAGGATTTTTGCTCACAAGACTCCACAGCTTAGAGGGAACATTGGACGTAAGCATACATCTAATAGTGATTACTTGACCTCCCATGTAGAGGGAGGTAACCAAGGCTATGGCATGTTTTTAAAAGATAAGGGGATACTCCCCCAATAATTGGTAACATCTGCACATGAGCAGACATTGTTTAAAAAACAACAACATTGATTGGCCAAGAGGAAAAAACATGACCCTGATGCTTGAGGAGGAGGAGGGAAGAAAAACATGCAATTAGGCAGCGCAGGCAGGAAGCAATGAGGAGGGATGGGATCTCCCCTCCCTTGCAGGTCCACTTCTTGGTCAAATCTAAAATTGGGTTGGGCCTAAATTCTGCTTCATGAAGGAACCAGAATCAGCCGCTTTCTTTTGGGGCTGGATGCTGTAATGAGCAATGGTTGCTGAAGATTGCTTGGGGAAAAATAAATTACAATGGAGAGACATGAAAACAGCTCAAGCAACAACACAGTAACCAGGTTGATGTTACACCCTGGCTATTCAGTCTTCTACCAACATAAGCACTCCCTGTGTGCACCCAAGTAGCTTTTGTGTACTAAGATAATCCAAAGTGTACACCAAATAATGCAAACTAGGCAAACATTTATGTATTTACCATTTCTATTCAAAATCTGTTCACATTTGGACAGGCACAATGGGGAAAGGAGGCATGAGGAAATATTTCATTGGTGTAGGAATAGTGTGGTGTATTTACTGCAAAGGAAGACCTATGCAGGCATGTTGATCAAGGCCCAAGTTCCCTATCAGGTGTTTGTTTTGTATTTCTGACTTCTTGTACCACCGGGTGAGCTCCATTAATCTTAATGAATCTGGAAGTCCCCTGAAGCTGGTTTTAAGGAACTGCTGTTTGGACTAGCCTCCTCACCTTTTAAAATCTCATTCTGTTCATCTGGGTGCACTGAAAACCAATGAGGCTACCCAGGTTATGGAGAGCAGATGCAGCCAGTTACTTGCCAAGCTGGTTCAAGGCCAGATTATGAGCTCTGATTTAGCCATAGACACGGTTAAAGCAAAACATTTGGACTAGGTTGTCTTAGTGGAGAACCTGTTAGCAGGTTCATCTATACTCACTAGTTGCCCGAGTTTTTATAACCTCTACTTAACTAACACCACAATGCAAGTACCATGTAAATTCTGCTCATAAGCCTTCAGAGAAGCTAGTTAGCAGAGATGGATTATTAAACCTTTAGACACTTTCCAACAGGTCTGAGGCTTCACTGTCACATTCTTTTTCTCATATCTTACAAAATCAGGTGAACACCAAACATAAGTTTTTTTCATGCCAGAAATGTCAGATACAAGTTTTATACACCAATCATGTGTATCTGTATCAGATTTTTCCAGCATGTCAAAGACTCACTTCTTCACCTGTGTTTTTAAAAAAAAACACCCTGAAATTTGCTTTGGGATAATTCAGAAGGTGGTGGTTGTGGAAAGTGCTGTCAAGTCGCAGCCTACTCATGGCAACCCCATAAGCTTTTCAAGGCAAGAGACATTCAGGGGTGGTTTGCCATTGTCTTTCTCTGCCTAGCAACCCTGGAATTCCTTGCTCCGGTCCATTCCAAATACTAATCAGGGCTGACCCTGCTTAGCTTCTGAGATCTGATAAGATTGGGCTAGCCTGGGCAATCAAGGCAGATTTAGGAGTAAACATGCATAGAGTTCTAGGCACCACACATACAGGGATTAGGCACAGGAACCTTGCAGTTTGGTCCTGAATTCCATGAATGTCTATAGTTCCTACATGACCTAAAAGCTTTTAGGCACAGATCTACAGTTTGTGATGTGAAGTGAGGCTTTGACACTTTTCCAAGTGTCACACAAATCTTTTCCAGTTCATCCAGCTCTGCTTCCAATTTGGAAACCTTTTACCTATTTATCACATGCTATTCCACCCTGCCTCCAAGGAGCATAGGATCGTTTATATGGTTCTCCCGACTTCTATTTTATCCCAACAACCCCTATGGTATAGGGTAAGGTTCTGGCCAATGGTCACCTAACGAATTCCATGGCTATGTATCTGAAGCCAGGTCTCTTCACTTCCAGTTGAATGCACTAACCACTTCACTATATTGATTCAGGAAAGGTCCTCAGGTCAACAGGATTCTCCAGCTTTGCTTCACCTTTGCCACACATTTGATCAAATTATAGATTCCATATGAGCAAGATGAAAAAGAGCTCCTACTGAACTAGCCACCAAAAGGCTCAGACTAAGGTCTGTTATCAGGCTTGGCGCAAACTCCAGTCCACAACTTCTGAACATGCACTCCAAAATGAAGTAACACTGTGCATTTAAATTATCTATAAAAGTAGCTCTAACACTACCCAGGCTGAAAGCCTCAAAAATACTCTCAGCTCCTGGTATCAACTCCAGATACAGGGGTGAAGAGGCACAAGGCTTGCTTCCTTCCATTAAGTTAAAACATAGTTCAGTGCTATGTTGATGAGACTTGTGTGAAGGTGAACAGATGGGCCACAAAACAGATATTAATTCAATTTTATTAATTTCAAAGAATAGATTGAAAAAAATCTTCTAATTAGGAATGTAAAATAGTACAGTAAAGAAATACATGAGAACGGGTCATAAGGTATGATTGGCACCTGGCACCCAGGAACCCCTTCTTCAAACATAACATTATTTGTAGATCAGAAAAGGAAGCAGGGGGGAAATCCCCACATAGAAGAGCCAGCAGGAAATCAAACTATAAAGACCCCCAAAAGCAAACAGGCTGATTTTATGACTGCAGCTGTTCTGAGGTATTCAGGATGCTGCCCTATCTGCATGCCACCACTCCTTGGACATAAGCAAAAAATAAAATAGTTGTAAAATCTGACACATCAACACTAGGGTGGGAGGGAGGACTGGTGCCCATGTTCCAGTGCAGGCTGCTTCAACGGTGAAAAAGAATCCCTCACAATATACCTGAGTAGTAGCCGATGCAGCAGCAGCTGAATTTGCAGGAAACGTATAATTCTTTAACGTTGAGATTGATGTCCTCTTTCACCAGAAATGCCAAACTAAGTAGCTATTCCAGGCAGAAAGTAGTCAGGGACTTGTGCGACTTAGCATACTCAACAGCACAGAGAAGGATTTGTAGGAACCATCCTGGCCTCACTTCGGGGCAATAGCACTGGGTCCCATCTGCAGACACTTGTGTTAAGATCCATAAAGTCTACTGTGTCTTTAAGAAAAGCTGTAAGTGCATAATCAGATGTTTAAATTTATTTATTTAAATGTTCAAAATGGAAAAGAAGTACAAATGCATTAAATGCTTACTACTGAAATAAACTGCAGAAAAATGCTGGACAGTAGGTGACCAATCTTAAGTCTCAGTAGTGAGCAGATGCACATACACCATTCTTAAAGGACATCTGCATGTATCTTAAGATGTGTGTCTTAAGCCATGGGCCAGTTACAAAAGTCACATAAAGAAACACAGTAGATCTGGTCCTTCGTCTCTCCTGATCCTAGAATGCATCATGCCTGGTCTCAGCAGCACAAGTCCCCATATGAAGTCAGCTATGTGCTAGCAAAAACAGCATAATAGCATCACAGCTTCTAGGCAGACTGTGAATAAGCAACAAGCTTAGGGAGAATTACAGAAATTCTGCAACTGGCTATGGTATGTGGACTCTGCAAAAACACAAACGCTTGTGGCAAAATTCAGGTGGGTAGCCACGTTGGTCTGAAGCCACAGAACAAAGTTTGAGTCCAGTGGCACTTTTAAGACCAACAAAGTTTTATTCAAGGTGTGCGTGCACACAAAACCTTATACCTTGAATAAAATTCTTTTAGTCTAAAAGGTGCCACTGGACTCAAACTTTGTTTTCATGGTTAAAAAAATGCACATGCTTAATTTCCCAACACACAGAGAACACTTTGGTATTCAAGGAAAACAGATGGGTCCACACCATCTTCACCACCAGGCTGAGTTCAGACGAATAAAATTACACTACTTTGTCATTTACCCAAATTTACCTATTCTGCTGACAGCAAAGCACAGTTCTTCACAGCCCACAGCAGGAGGAGGAAGTGGAATGTAATAAATGTACATAGTCTCTGCAACTATAAAGACAACTCCGATGCTTGGAATCTACATATTCAACTGGAAAAGGAATGGGGAGTTTATTGCTC